CCTTGTCAGGCGCCACTTCATGCGCTATATTTGAACCCCCTTCCCCCCGGCCTCCCAAAGTGCCTTTGGATCAAGGTGTTCTACAGTAGATGTCACTTGGGTGAGTAGCTCCAGCCAACAGGATGTGATGGTAGGCCCAGAATGCAACAGGAATCTTGCGTCTATGTTTGCTTTCCCCATGCTTGCATGCAGAGAAGGTTTAAGCTTACCCTTTAGGGAGTGGATCACAACTACAGGAATGACTTGAATAGCCATGCCCTGCTGTAACTGAGACTTTGTGATGTGGTTCCCCTCTCATAACAGAAAGCTCACAAATTATAAGATCGGGGGTGCTTATAGTGTTTAACAAGTAAGTAGTACTTGTTGGTTTAAAGATATAGCCCCTAAGAGTACTGTATCTGTTTACAAATACAAAATGTGGGCTCAGAGGATTCTTTGTGGCACACTGATTTATTAAAACTAAAGAAGAAAGTGGTCTGAAATGGCAATACCGAACCGTGCCTGGGTTTGCAATTTGGATCATTTGTGTGGGATTGGGGAATTTAAATTGTGAATGGGGTTGAATGAAATTCAATTTAATTGAAAATCTTAAGGCTTATATAATTAATGTTGGTTTATATGAGTTTCTTGTAATAGTGGGGTGGCTGTGGCTCAGGAGATGGGTGCAGGCCGCCACTAATCATAAGGTTGGTGGTTCAATCCAGCTCCTCCCCCTGCGTGTCCTTAAGCAAGATACTGAACCCCAAAAGCTCTGCCATCAGTGTATACATTTTTGTGAATGGGTGAATGTGGCATGTAGTGTAAAGCACTTTGACTGGTCAGAAGACTAGAAAGGTGTTATAAGTGCAGTCCATTTACCATTCCTATATACCAAATAGTCATAATAGGAAATTCTGGCCTGACAGTAGCACAAGTAAGACAGTACCACAACTTACTGAATCCATGGCAGCATTGCGTGATTCTAGTTGAATGTCTAATTTTTATCCAAGGGAAGGGCCAGATATGATGTCAAACTTTGAAGAAGCTGTCAATCAGAAGTAAAAGGTTACAAAAAAAAAGTTATACTGAGAAACATGACTATCCAGAAAATCCAGCAAAACAGCAAATGTATTTGTTTTTGAAACACGTGGAAAGCAAAAATCATCAGAAGGCAGCTCCTGAGGACCATTTGCTAATATTCATATCAAATTCCATGCCTATTGTAAATACATCTTGTCATGGACCAAAGTTTCAAGTCAACCCACCAATCAAGAACTTCCTTCATTATCAACCTTTCAGTTCTAGTGGCAAGGAGTGACACTTTGGCATAGTTAAACTTCAGAAAATCAAAGATCAAAGTCTGAGATTGTGAGGAGTACTGTAGCCCTGATAGGGGGCAATTGATAACAGTGATATTTGAGTTTTTTCCATTGATAGTAAAATAGATCATTTTAATCTAGGATTCTGTCAAGTGAAAGTTAAAAATACCAGCAAGGGATGACCTGTATTGCACTGTGAAAATGCAATTAAACATCGCCTTTAGTTTCCAAGTTGCACTCTTGCTTTGACATTAGTTTGCCCCCAGGTCTGTGTGATTAAAACAGCTCTTGCCCAGTCAGCAACCAAAACAAAATAGAAGCTTAAGAACCACACCTAAAAAAATAACAGGAAAAGAGAGACTAATGTCCAGGACCAAAGTGGGGAGATTTGTCAGCCTGACTGCACCATGGGTTACTCCTGGATGTTTTTGCTCCTGTCAAAACAGTCCTTGGGGCTTGAGGAGTGACCAAATGTTCTACTCCCTCTGTCAGTTTTTTTAAGTCATTCGTGCTGACCCTCTCTTAAAACTGTGACTTTTCCTGTTTGAGGAAATTGAGTAAAATTTATGACACATTTTTTGACTGTAACTCTCGGGGCAACACTAAAACTGTGAAACCCTGCTTTATTCCTCTCCTTACCAAGCAGTTACTTATTTGAGTTGTCCTTAAAATCCCCTCTTCTTCCCTTAAACTGTCTCTTTTGCTGGTTCCAACTGCTTTTCATTTTATGCGAGTTCAAAATGAACAAACTGATTGCAGGCTTCCAGGCTGAGATGGACCAGTTTAAGGAGCAGACAAAATAAGCCTGCTTAGAAGTAAAGCAGGGGATTTGATTTGACATTTCACAGAAGAGATTTGTCATTAGTGATTTTCCCCACCTTGCTGCGATTGACGTGGCGACATCTTTAGTGACCCCTGTCTGGATTCAGCAGTAATTGATTTTGTCAGATGACTCTCGGCTTTCTCATTGTGCTTGTGAAAAGGTCAACGGGAAGCACATTGGTTTTTGTGAAAGGTCTATTTTATGGGGCTGAGTGTGAATGCTGGGTTGGGTCTGGAGTTTTCGAGCCTTGTACAATCTGAACTACAAAACAGGGTAGAATTTTGAGAAGGTTTCACATAATCAAAGGGTTTCACCGAATCGACTCCAATACTGTTTCTGTACCTATGTTTTGAAAGCAAGTATTTGAAAATATTCTCTTTTCCTTATTGATGGTTGGTGTAGAAAAGCTTCTCAAACAGCATTTAGAGGTGGTCTCAAACCTGAGGTGTGGGATTTCTGATCAGATGCCAATGTTTTATTTCTATATATTTATATATATATTATATTTCATAATTATTGGTCTGAATGCAACTTCCCCTAGAATGTAAAATACAGGGGACATGACGTCAGTATCCTCACTTTGGCAAATCACTAGGTTCCACAATTGTCCCCAAGGAGATTTCTAAAGTGGTTCTTGGACTAGGAATGTCTTGCTGAGGCTGCATTGAGACTGACAGCACAACAGAATGAATAAATGCAGCTCAGTCATTTGAGTCCAATGCAGCGGGAGTGCCAATGCAAGGGGCTCAGAAAAATAACGCAAGCCATCCTGTCAAAAGTTGAATAGGGCTCAACTTTTGCTGCAATGCAATATTGCACTGGCCAATAAAATATGTGTAAGCACAAATTCCTTGTGGGTTGCTTTGCATCGGGAACACTGTATATTTACTACTTATTTTGCGACTGGTTCACCAAAGATAAAATAGTCACCATCATAACAATCCTGTCTATCAGTATTAAAAAACAAACTGGACTTCCTGGATTTCATTGTCTCACCGGTAATGTGCCCGCAGCAACTCAGTCTGTTGTTTTCAGTCAAATGCCTGTTAAGACAGGGGGAAAAAATGGTAAATGAAAATTTCAATCTCAGTTTCAAAAATGGACCTAAGCACATTTCTACTCCACTTCAAGGTCCAGTGTGTAACATTTAGTAGGATCTATTGTCAGAAATTGAATATAATATTCATAGGTATGTTTACATTAGTGTATAACCATGTGGAAATAAGAATAATTGTGTTTGTAACCTTAGAATGAGCCTTTTTTATGGGGCCTTGCATTTTTTCCCAAGTTCCAAGTTTTCACTGCAGTATCTGCAACTTCATAGATAGATGCGGCTAAATCCTACACACAGGGGGCATTTCCCAATTAAAGAGGTATTCAGTGAAAAAGGTTGGGTACAACTGAGACTATAATGGGAAATTTTCCATGGAAACATCTCAAGATAAGAATGATAAAACATGCATTCATATAGACTTAGTCAAGTCAGTTTAGATAACAATGTAGTATAGATGTATTTACAAAATGTTACATGCATATGCAGTGACTGACAATGATTTGTTACATCCAATTTCCTATAAAAGACCAAATACGAACAACAGACACAAAAGGATTTATCGGTTTAACCCTGCTGCATACTGGGAGTTGGACCGTATGCCTGAATGAAAAAGACCTTGCTTCTTGGGCCAAGTGCCTTGCATTAATTTGCACTGGGCGTGGTGGAAATTCTTTGAGAAACGATGCTGCTGCTCTGTTCATCCCCAACTCAGGCTACAGATGATGATGTATCATCTGGAATCTGCCTCACTTTCTCTTTCCTTCCATCAATCCCAGGATTGATTGGTAGGCAGACTATTTCCAAAGCTGCCAGGATAGTGAAGGGTTTTCAAGTTTCAGGGTTCTGTGGCAGTCCCAGGGGACCACACATTGAGCTTTACAGATGCACGATGAGACCCCTGAAATTGATACTGTGGTTTATTCTTCAGTGATTCATCATGGCGTGTCTTTGAAAACACAGCCTAGGCTGTCTGTGTCTGGGGAATAATTCTTAGGGTCTTGTTGTTTGAGGAAATAACATCAGTTTGTATGAAATGTAATTTTTGATGTGGAAACATGTTCTTTAAAGTGTACATTTCTGTTTTCCTTCTTGAACAAAAAAATACATAGAGGCTGCAGAGAATATTTCTGAAGCATTGCAGTAACGGCAGACCCCAGACCGTTAGGGACCCACAGCTTACTTTTGCTCTGGCCCTGTTAACTGTATTTAATACATTATGAACCAGAGGTGGGACCAAGTCCTTGTTTTGAAAATCACAAGTAAATCTCAAGTGTCTGCACTCAAATCCCAATTCAACACAGGCAAGTCCCAAGTCCTAAACAAGTCATAATGCACTCTTCACCAAATGTAACTCAATTTTAACAACTGAATGAAAAAAACTAAATTATCTTTGGTATCATTTTTTCCAACAGTCGCTCAGTTACGTAACGTTAGTTCTACATGGTTCTCTCCTGCAATGTGATTGGTTCCTATCAATTTGGTTCAAACAAAGTAGATGTGGGGAATTAATTGTGCACGCTAGGAATGAACATCATTAAGTTAGTTAAATTAGTTAGCAATTTATTCGGGGAACACTATACTTAACATACTTTTAAATATTTAGCCATGGAGGAAGGCCAGGAGTTTCATGTCTTTTTTGATTTTGTCAATTCGAGTCTAAAGTCATCAAAAATTAGACTCAAGTCTGACTCAAATCTAAGTTTTCCACACCTCTGCTATGAACCAGTCATAAACAGGACATTTGAGGTATTCAGACTGTGTGTAATATATGTTGTCATAAGCCATAAATCTAATTATGTTTTCTCTCTCTCTCCTTGTCCTACAGGACCTCCAGTAAGTAGACCAGACGCTCTGGGTGACCTGTATGTGGTAAAGTGACTGTGGTGATTTTTGCACTTTGTGAAGTAGATGGAGTGGAAAGTGTGTTCCAACATATCTGATGCCAATATATTGCCTTGTCTGGATGCAGTGATAATCTGTACACTGCTGTTCCTGCCATGGACTACGTGCTTTATGGGCATTTTATGGTTCAAAAGTATGCTTCAATTGGTCCACACAGTTCTTACACCACTTCCTAACATACAGCGAGTTGATAAACTCTAGCAAATGGAGTGCTAAAACTTTTCCAGATATACTACAAGCGATGTTGCAGCAACAACCTTCCATCAGCCTTGTTTCTATGTAGTTGGAGAGTGGTTTACTTACTTTTAATTCCCAGCAGCCAAACCTTGTCCCATTTCAGGATATCCTTCTATAAAGCATGCTGTGGGATAGTCTCATGTCATTTCTGGCAGATCAGCCATCTCCACACTTCATTTTAGCAGTTTTGAGGTGGAACAAATGCACGTTTTAAGTAGTCTGGCCTCTAATAGTATTCAATAAGTGGTGGTTAGCAGTGGTTAGGACTGTAGTCTTCACAGCAGTTTTTTGAATATGCAGGCCAGCTTGGGTTTTCTTTTTCTGTGTGGATTTTGCATGTTCTCTCTATGTCTGCATTGGTTTCCTACTAAATTAGTGATTCTAAAATGCGTATAGGTGTGAAAGTGACTGTGAATGCTTGTCAGTCAATCTTGTCATACACTAGTGACGTGTCCAAGGTGTGCCCCACCCCTCGCCCACTGATAGCTTCAACCTCATGCAACTCTGCACACAATAAGCTGATCAAATTTTTAGGTGAATTCATTCAAACAGTTGAAATCAAGCCTTAGGATAAAAGGGAAACTTCTTGGTTCCTGTGCCTCGATGGCACAACTTTTAGGAACACTGTTCTTAACATCTGGCCACTATAAGTTTGACTTTCGTACAGCCGTGTCAGTTTTAAAATCACCTCCGCCAAATATCCCTCCCTGGAAAATTTGAGGAATAGTTCCTACGGAGGAAATCTGAAGGTACATGAGGTCAGACAGCGAGGCAGATTTTCCACTGCTCTTCACTACACTTCTCTCCACAGGATCTGAGCATTTTAAAATGCAAGGTCAGATTCCACAAGTCTTCATCGACCTTGACATACAGTATGAAAGCACCTATACCTTAGTAAGGCTCAGTATCTTTTTTACCAATTCTCACTCAGAAATACCAATATTTTTGTTCATAATTTCCACCTGAATTCCTCTTACAACAAGCAAAGCTTAGTAAATGCTTCCAGTAAAATTAAGAAATGAACAGGGAGAAACTGCAAATGAGCTGCTCATCACACATCAGAGTTTCTCAAAGTAAAATAAAAAAGGCATAAAGGTGGTTGTGCCTCAGTCTTTATGATGATTTTACAAATGGGTTGACTGTATTCAGTGAGACAAACTACTCAGACTATTTCATGAACAGTAAATTGATAATGAATGTATAGGCAGGATCAGTCAACCTTTCATGCCCAGTCACACCAGAAAATAGCACCTAGCTAGCACTACACAAAGGGCAGGGACACAATATAGCCAGGTTGCTAGTCCATCTCAACATATTCACTGAGGGGGTTATTATGTAACACATCTGTAAAGTAAAATGAAAATGCTTTATTCACTTAACCCTTGTAACTGGCTTGCTGTCATAGTTAGAAAATATTAAATTAAATTAAATAAGTGTCTACAGGTCACATCACAGGAGCTTTGCCCTGTTGGCCCTTGTATGGGCCTTGTGCTTGTAAAATACTTTAAAATAAGTATAAATGATGGGAAACACACTCAGGCTCTGATTAAGCTGAACTGGATAATGACAGGGGTCCTTCACAAACTGCTCAAAAGACAGAAGCACAATGTATAATGTCTGTTTGACACAAATATTCAATGTAGATAAACAAATGAAGGTGGCCTTCTTCACTGATGATTAATTGTTGAAGTCTTCTTTTTTGTGTGCATTGAAGTTCAGTTGTAGGGTAACACCAAAGTCAGCCACTGGGTAAAATAACACCAGTAAGGATGGAGTAAATCAACCCTCTCTCCTATAAATCCCAACTCACTTCTTATCGAGCAGAGGAGGGGACCCAGGGGTCCATACATCCCACGTACGATGGCCAAATATACCCCTCTACCCTCCACCCCCTCCCTGCCTTTCTATTCATTCAGCAGCACTTTGCCAAATGGGAGCCACATGTTTCATAGGGTTACTGTGTAATTCAAGTGAAGGGTTCCTTCCGGCAGTGGGTGACCTCTGCCCCCTGCAGACAGTCCCTGAGGACCCAGTAGCTAACGGGCAGGCACCATACATGCAGCATGTTCACACTCAGCACCTGGCCGTGCACCTTCACGCACTGCCCTCTGACTGCCAGCCTGATTTAGTAGAAATACTGTTTATCTGACTACCCAAGCACCACTGACCCAGAACCCTCAAAACTGCAGTGCAGTGAATTAGAGTATAATATTAAGCCTACAAAAAGAAAAATAAAGAAAATTGTGGTTTTGGTTCATAAATCAGTAAGTAGTCAGTAGCTGCTATATTTGGTCTATATTGGCTCTAAAGGAAATTGGTGCCCACAATGAGCCAACAAGTCAAAAAAAGAAAGAAAATTGTTATCAGTCAGATTCCTAATTAGCTGACAAAGTGGAAGCATATACCTTTCTAGCTCTGTCCAATAACCTTTAATTTCTTTCTCTCTGCGTGAAGTTTAATTTATATTCCAAAGTTGCATTTTGCAGTGATCACATAAAAAACTATAACAAAGGACTAGACTGACGACCTTGTGAAGTAGCGTGGAATCATGGGAGTTGGTGTTCTTTATTCTTAAACAACCACCATTGCTGATGAAAATCTGACCGGACAGAAATTGTTCACAGATGAGGTAATACTTTTATTCACATTACGTTTACTGATGATTGCAGACTTCCTTCATCACTCTCCGATGTATCCCGTGTTAACCCAGAAGTTATAGCAACTATAGCATTTCTGGATGTGCATGGCTCCACAGTCAAGTTACCAATGATAGATATGCAATGTCCACTTAGAGTTTCAAAATGAGGCTTGCTTGGTTTAGTAGGGTTTAGCAAAATATTGTAACTTATGTTACACACCTGATGTATCCTAAGTATGTTATATAAGTTAAGTTAGGTATGTGACATTAAAGAAATTGTTGACTTTTTTACAAGGGACACAAACAGGGTTCAAGTCCTGTGTTTGTTTGAGCCATCCATCTACCCAACTTTCGACTTTCTTGCTCTTTATACATTTCACCTGACTTTGACTGTGGGCACATCCAGAACTGACCATCGATATATATAAAGATGGATGACGTGACACCCTCGGGCTGTCTGCACTGTAGGTCATAAAGCCTGCTGCCTCCATGTTAGCAGATGGGACATGGGCCAAACTGAAAAATCTAATTACATGTCAAATAAATTTTTCCCAAAGATGGTTTCTGTCATTTTGGATAGTTCTTATGGAACTGATGTATTTTCTTTTTTTCTGATCAGTTTGGTTTTAATTAGTTATTTTAATCTATAAAAGGGGTTTCATGTCATGATTGACAGTTGAGCCTTGCTCTTGATTGAGTTGGCCAGGCGTATGGGCGAGACTTTGATAGTGCGGCGCAGACACAACCACTACTGCACAGACTCTGGCTCCGAATGTTGAAAGATGACAGCAACGTTATTTGGGATATTATGGCATAATTTTTTACAGTGCGAGGCAGTGGAGACAGGACACCCATCTTTTATATGTCGATAGAACTGACGTGTGAGGGATACTTACAGAATCATATTTTGAAAGCAGAGGTCCACTGACCAAGCGGCAATATTCGACTTCTCTGCAAAGTGTAGTTTTCCTTTAACCTGTTAAAACCCACCTGCCCCTTGGTGCAGAGCTTAGGGTTAGGGGTTATGGTTAGGGTGTGTTAAGGTCTCCAGAAGTTAAATTAAATAACAACTTTTGTCATGCTGCATCATCAAGCCACTCCACACAATGAATTCAAAACACAGCAGCAGACAGTAGACATTCATTCATCAAAGCCAATAAGCAAAAGCTCCAATGATGATTGTTTGACATTCCTTCCATCCAGGATTACTGATGTGATAGGAATGACTTCCCCTCTCCTGCTGTCAGCCAGCAGTCTCCTACCCACACACACACACTCTGGGAAGTACAGCACTCTCACTGGGCTCTTCAAGGAGGAATATTGATGACATGCCAAAATTCAAGAGCCGGCAGTTATCATTCTCCTCAGCAAAGCATCAATGCCTTAGCAGCTTTTTTTTAAAATGTCAAGAGTTCCTGTTTTGACTTCCAACCAATTAGCATTCCATTCTTTTACATAAGAGCTGCTCACAGAAAGAAGCATTGATTTGTGTTCCGCTCACTCAGTGAAAACAAAAGACAGTGTGGCCCTTTTTGTTCTTAGAACCTGGACATAACTGAAAGTCATTGTATTCTAGCTCCTTGTGTTTTGTTTGTAATGGAGGCCACCATGCTGACATGTTGTCATATCCGCCTTAGCAAGGTACTTAGAGAAGCAGAGGTCAGTTAGGGGTTTTGAAAAGGGTTTGTTACACATAAACATAAGAACCTTCAGCATGTGTTCTCCCAAAACCAATCTTTGCATGAGTCTTTGTGGTAAAATTGTTTGTCCATTTATGTTCAGAAACATCTTGTGTTGAGTTAAAATATGAGTCACTGAATGCCCGTTGACCAGAAAAGGCATGTTACTGCATCATTAGTGTTCTTTCTGTGTCACTGAGCTGAAAAGGCCAAAATAAAATGTATTCATACAAGACTGTAACTACCTGGAGTGATTCTGGCTCGGCTCAGTGCAGGTATCTTTCATTATGTGGACTGTAAAATTTACTCTTTCCTTTTTGTACCAATTTTCCCTTACCCCTTTTTCAGGGTCCTCCTGGACGAGCAGGCTTTCCGGTAACTGTCTTTTTAACTTGTGTCTTTGTGTGTACAGTATTTGCATGTGTAATCAGTGATCACTGCAGTATTGATCTCTCGGCCTGCTCTCTGCTTGTTGAGTTGTCTTTATTTGAATTTCCTAATGAGTTTTAATGATTATACATATAGTTCAACTAAATATATCCAGCTATTAGCTATCAGATGATAGCCATACCTGTCTCCAGGACATTTGTTTAAATCAGTGTACAGATTTCCTTTAACAACTCTGTCTCCAGCAAAATACATCTATATCCTACTAATGTGCTTTGCTAAATCTGTTTTGGAGGAAACATACTTGCTGCGTTGATAAAAAGAAGGTTATGTAACTTTTAAAAGAAGAAATAACACAAACTCCCATCTTACAAATGAAAGATTTATTTAAGCAATAACTAGTCTTGCTTGATGACTATGACTCATAGCTTATGGTTGCTACCAGATTTTATGTACGGCAAACTTTAGTAGGTAGGCCTTCATATCGGCGTGTGAAATTACTGAGTCAGTTTGTAAAGCTATCTTGTAGAAACTAGTGAAAAAGTTAACATGCTACTCACACTTTACAACAAAACTTTGTAGCTTTTAAAGGAAAGAATGGTTTCTGTTACTGAACAAATTAATTAGGGTTAGGGTTTATTCATAAACCATGGTGGCTAATGTTAGCTAATGCTAGCAAGTGGTTTATTCCTGCTTGTGGTTCCATTCCACTCACAACCAGTCAGATCCAATGATATTGGATCAGTATTTATATACAGTGCATGTACATAAGATACGTGACATACGATAAACAGTGCATGCCATATGCAGAACACATACAGTGGGTACGGAAAGTATTCAGACCCCTTTAAATTTTTCACTCTTTGTTTCATTGCAGCCATTTGCTAAAATCAAAAAAGTTCATTTTATTTCTCATTAATGTACTCAGCACCCCATCTT